TGAGGTATCAACTATGTCCTTTTGCATGTCGGATAAGCTTTCATAGAAGTATTGGACAACTTGCCATTTTGGAATACCATGATGTGGACACTTTCTTAGCAAGTCATTCAATCTCTCCTAAGCCTCATGCAACAACTCTCTTTCCCTTTGAGAAAATTCTCTAATTGAAGCGCACATTACATTGGTCAAACTTACGGGGTAAATTTTTTTTAAAAACTCATTTTGCATTTGTGCCCAAGATGTTATTGAATTTACCCCTAAAGTATTGAACCAATGCTTTGCTTTATTTTTAAGCATGAAGGGGAAGAGAAATAATTTAAGAACTTCCTCTGGGATATCCATGTACCTCACGGTGGAACATAGTTCAAGAAATTCATTAAGATGCCTATATGGTTCCTCTTCATCCAAGCCATAAAAGAGTGGACACATTTGAATGGTCTCGGGCTTGATTTCATATTGATTAGCCTCAAAATTAGGCAACACAATGCAAGTGGGTGCATGGTATGCATGAAGATTATAATGATCATGAATGACCATTGGAGGAATTGGAGCTTAAACTTCGGGGTCATGTTGATTAAGAGGTAGGTTTTGCATGAAGCGTGGGCCTAAGTAGCCAAGATTACCCTCTAGATTTTCCATGTGAATGCCTAGAATGTATGATATGACAAGGTCTATATAAGACTATAAATGACACACAAATCACAACAAAACAAACAAGCACTCCTCCTTTGCAATAAATCAACAATCAACAAACTTCCTTCACATACAATGTTCCCATACTCCCATGCTTTGATAACAATGCAAAGAAAAGTAAATTGCCTCTACGCGGGCTCACGATTTATCTAGAAAATTAAAAACAAGCCTCCACGTGGGCTGACGATTTAACTAAGGGATTGAGTAAGAAAAAGCTCACAAAGGTCCTTTAGCACTTCAACTCCAAATTTATAGCTTAGCATAGCAATTTTTTTAAAATTTTTAGCATTTTTCCTTGCTTGCTTAGCTCCTTTGCTTACCTACTAGCTCAATGCTCCTTGTCAAAGATGAACAAACACAATAAGTAATCTAAAGAAAAATAAAAACAAAGTAAAGACACGATCAAAAGAGTACTAATTCCTAATAAATTCCATAAATACGACGTTGCTTATTCCCTGGCAACGGCGCCATAAACTAACTGGTTCATTGCACTACCATCAAGTTTGAGAGTGTGAATTTTAGGCAAGGGCCAAGAGTTTTACATTTATAAAAGCCACTACTACCTTTCACTATAAATATAGCTAGGGCGAGTAGGGATCGTCCCAAGGGATTGGAGTCGTACTTGGTTGTGGAATCGCTATTAGGGTTAGTAGGTCGAGTGATCAAACAAATGGTTAGTTGGTTGATTAAACTAGAGAGCAAATTAAACTAAATAATTGAATGCAATAAAGAGTAAGTAAGAGAGAGAGAGAAATCTTGGGGTTTAGAGATCACCTCTAAGCAATGCTTTTCTACACCTTCAACTAGTGACTAATGAGGGTAATGTGTGTTGCAATATTGATGTGTGTGTATGTTTGGTTGATTCAATTAGCAAGGGTGACCAATTAAGCATACATTGTCTAATCAACATGTGAAAAGCACAATATATCTAGCAATCAAGTATATATTGTCTAAATAACATGTGAAAAGCACAACATATCTAGCAATTCATTAATCCTTTCATTAAGCTCATAAGCCAAATACACCACAAGGTTAAAGACATATGCTACTTGCATTCAAAAGTATAGAACATCAAACAACAAGCATGGATTGCCCTCCCATCTAACAACTATGCTACCACTACACTACAATTAAGCTAATGACATGAAATTAAACTAATTAAGCGAAGGGAGAGGTATAATCCATCAAGAAATGAGTATAAATCATCTAGAAAATCACAAGAGCATTCTTTTAAGCACAATGTTTTGACAATCTCTAGATCTATAGCATTAATACACATAGACATGCATCAATAACATAAGAAATAGAGACAAACACATGAACATCTATTTTAGCATACATATACATATGGATAGAATGAAATGATCAATTGAAAGCATTTAACCACATAAATCATTGAACAATTAAGATCTATATATATATAAAACACAAGATTAAGATATAAAAAGCATGCTTGGGGCTAACTCTAGCCCCAAGAGGATGTCTAGCCACTCATGGTGATATTGCTCCAACCCTCAAGGGCTAACTCCATAGAAGAAATCTGCTCCTTGTTGATGAAGAACTCCAATGGTGTCTCTAGCCTCCTCCTCCTCTAAGCTTGCCTCCTTTGAGAATAATCCCTAGAATTGTCTCTTAACTTAAAAAGTGCATCATATTCCTTTTATAGGTAGGTCAAGTGACACACAAAATGAGCTGGGGTCGTGCAAAGAATATTCTCTAATGATTGGATAGAGGACGGATTAAACAAGCTGGCTTTTTAACTTTTTCGCACTGGAGGAAGTTCGATCGATCGAACCCTGGACTTGGATCGATTGAACTTGGCTGAGATCTATCGAACTGAGGCTGGATCGATCGAACTGGTTGAGCTTTTTGGGAAAAGACAAATCCGAGATATTTTGGGAGATATTTTTGGGAAAAGGACAAAAGTGGTTAGTGGGTGGTACAACTGTGGATAAGATCAATCATTTGAATAAGGATAAAAGTGTTCGATCGATCGAAGGGTGGTGTTGGATCGATCGAACTTTGGACTTTCTGCTTTGGGTCAATGTTTGAATCTATCTTAAAGTACTGAGATCGATCAGTGTTCGATCGATCGAACCTTGAAGTTGGATCGATCGACTTTGCTGCTTCCCACCTTTGGCTTCATTTGCTTTTTTCTTTCTCCACTTTGCTTCTTTCTTTGTTTAATCCCAGAATTGCTTCAATTAAGCTCTTATTTGGCTGAGTTAGCTAATTTTCGGGATAAGTGCCTGAAAATGGAAACATTACGAAATCAATCTAAAATGGTAAAGTAAGATAGATAAAGGTAATAGAATGCCTAAGCTTAATGGGTTTAAATACGCACTTTTCAGCGCTCATCAGCCGGCTCCCTCCAAGTGGGAGTCGGCTCTGTCCATAAGGGAGCCGGCTCTCTCCCTGAGAGCCACACTAAAAACACTAGGGAGCCGGCTCTCGACCTGCTATGCTCTTTCTTCTTCGTCTCCGATGTCCTCTGTTCATTTCGATCACCTTCGTTACAGATCCTAAATCTCTGTTCTTATTTCCAGATGATCTCCATTAATTATTTAGAGTTCGTCTGCATCTTTTACATAAATTAAAACAAAGTTTCCTATAAGAATTTCAAGAATCAGCAAGAGCACATCTAAACAATTAAATTCAGTTTTAATTCCAATTAAGCATGCATAAAGGTCAATTTAATCTCTGATTACTCCTAGAATTAACCTAGGCATGCATAGAATATGAATCAAAGGGAAAAAGTTAGAAGTTGAACTTGCCTCTTAAAGTTTCAGTTTGAAACCTTTAACCGTCTTCTTCCTAGACTTTCCGGCGACCTTTGATTGTCATCAAGCCTCCTTCTGCTCTAGTTCTATTCCACAAGCAGACCTTCTTCCTTCCTCCTTTATCCAGCCCCTTCTTGGCTGAAACTCTCTCTCTCTTTTCTCTTACAGTTTTTCTCTCAAACTCTCTGTCTCTAAAAAGTGGTGTGAATAGGGTTTCTTCCAACCCTTGACAGACCAACCTAAGATGTATAAATAGGTGTATAATAAACCTTAATCCTATTCATAACCTAAGGAAAAATAAAAGAAAATAAAAATAAAACATAATACATATTTATGAAGTCTGTACGTCAATATAGGATGTCGTTCACTGATAGCTATTAGGATGATTACTATCGGAGATTAGGGGCATGTGTCCCTAGATCTCTATCGGTTTTATTTTATGGGCGGGTGACGGCATCGTCTAGTTACCACAACGGTTACGGAGTGTGTGGGGGTAACTAGCACTGTCAGCTACCACAATATTTTTCATGTCACTGAATTTCACATCGCCTGGGGTAAGGATTTTTGGATTATGTTTTACCACTTTTGGTGTTTTAAGGTACGAAGATTGTTCGATCTGAATTTCGGGACGAAATTCTTTTTAAGTGGTGGAGAATGTGACAACCCGGATTTTTTTTTTAAGATTTTAAATTTTATACTCTTGATTTTTAGTTGTCAATAAAATTGATTATTTTGTTTTTATTGGAGATTTACCAATTGGAGGTTGGATTATTGATTATTGATTATTGAATTGGAGATTTATCCAATTAAAAGATTTAATGGGTTTAATTTTTGTTGTCATAATTAATTTGATTAATTATGATTTAAGGCTTATCAATTACAAATTGATTATTTTGTTTTAATTGGAGACTTGGTGAGTTACCCAATTGAAATTTTTAATGGGTTGAATTATTTTTTGTTACACAGTATATATATATATCTTTGTTGCATCAGTCGGTGATGAGGCTGCCGATATTGAGAGGAGAACGAAAGATTGAATGGAAATGGTAATTTGGCGGGTCCCACGTACTTTGTGATTGCAATGGACAATTTTCCTTTGGCTTTGATTTTTTTCTCACGTGGTTTTTTTGTGGTGGCTGATGTTTCTTTGTTAAATGTTGTATGGAATGAAAAGATGTGAAGATAAAGATAAGAATTAAGGAGGAAAAATGGGGCAAAATTGATGATGATAATGGGCCCCACTAAATGAGATATTATGGGTCTTGATTTGTTACATTGAATATATATAGTATGTATATATATAGTTTCATTTGTGATGTCTGTTGAAGGACTGCACCCATCCGAAAATGCAAGAAAAGAAAGAAAAGTTTGAAATGGTGTTAGTGGTGGGCCTATTAGTTGATATTTTGGTTAAATACTACTTTGTGCACATGGGTATTGTGTATACAATTAATGTAAAGAAAAATTAAAGAAAGAAAGTGGCAGTAAGTGTCTGCAGAAAGTAAGATAAAGCAAGAAATGTGATGATGGTGTCGCGTGAGGTCCACTTAGTGATAAGTTTGCAATTGTTTTGATTTTTGTTGTATGGTGACCTGTTGTGCTATGTCATTTGCCTATATATATATTGGTTTGTTTTGGTGAGTAAACAGAAGAGAAAAATTAAAGGGCAAAGGGCCGAGATTTTATTTAAGCAGAGAGCCGAGACGGACTTGAGGCATGATGATCCAGTATTGATTTATTCTTTTAAAGAGTAGGGTTCTTTATACCTTGAATTGTCTGGGTGATTTTATTTCAAATATTTTGTTAATGTTGTTTTGTTAAATTGCATATATATATATTTTTTGTTCAAAAATATATTTATATTTTGTGAACTAATTTTCATGAAACCTCCTTGAGATTCTTGTTATGGTTTTTCCTACTGGGACTTCCCCCGTCTCAACCCCCTACAGTTTCAGGTACCGAGGATGAGCTTGGATTGATAGTAGCAGGCTAGGAGGAAGAGTAGGACTGGAGGAATTAAATTATTTATTTTAGAGAAGTTGTGTATTTAATTGAGGAAATTAATTTGTATTAATAAAATGGTATTTTCTTTTGAGATCCTGGGTGGAAATTGAAGTATTTTGATTTGAATAAATCGAGGATTTTATTTAGAAAAAAAAATTCGGGGCGTTACATTCATCGTCATGGACGACACTTCTCTTCTCAGGTTTTTCACCATATAAGGTTATAGAAACCCTAAGAGCCGCCACCACAATATCAGCCTTTTGAATAATATGAGGAAAAAAGAACTTCTTCTATCAAGGCCTGTGCCTTCTTTTATAGAAGAAATAAAGGTTTGGTGGGCTTTTAGGTCTTCTGGCCCATTTGGAGTAAAATACGACTTAGAAAAAAATAATCCCAGTAACTTATATATTAATCTATCTTGGAAAGCTCGAGCTTAAAAAGTAGAGCACGAACTATAGGGTTCAGGCTCGAGCTTTAGGAACAAAGCTCGAGCTTTTTTGAATTATTGCTCGAGCTTCAAAGGATGGTGCTCGATCTTTAATTTTATACTTAGTCAAATTTCTTCAACTATTTTTCGAAGCGTCTTTTTCATCAACACTTAGAATATTTTGGGGGTTTTCTTCTTTTAACATTGCTCGATCCAAGCTTTATAGGGCTCGAGCTTTAGGTACTAAGCTCGAGCTTTTGGTACTCAAGGCTTGAGCTTTGAATGATAGTGCTCGATCCTTGAGGTCTGGCATGAGGCCCTGGAGCTTGGTTTTCCTTTAAAATCAATTCTTCAAATTCCGACGCCTCATGCTTGAGCTTGAGGGCCAAGGCTCGAGCACCTTGGGGTAAGGCTAGAGCACCACTGAGTAGGGCTCGAGCTCTGGACGTACAAGATTCAAGCTTTAATACCTTGTTGATTTTCTTCTTTGTCTTGCAGGGCTCGAGCCTTAGAAATTAGGCTCGAGCTTTGGTACTTAAATTCTTCCAAACTTCACAATTTAAGCTCTCTGCTTGCTTTGAATGACCGGCAACAACTTTGTAAGCTTCGATATCAGTCTTTTCATCATAAATTCCTGGTTTTAACCGTTTCTCTGGGAAAGTAATTATAAACACATAATAAGCATAAATTAGTCTAACAATGGATAAAAGTATCACTTTAGGTTTTAATAGACGTATATTTAGGGGATCGAATATGCAATATTCAGCGCTCATCACACCCCTAAACTTACATATTGCTAGTCCCTTAGCAATACAGAACTAAAAAGCCACTTTCGTGGGAATCACGGTTGCATTTAGCCTATACAACAAGATTTGAAACCCCTAGGTTACCCCTAATGGACGAGTTGTAGTCTCGTGAGGTTTCTAGTGATGGTACCCACAAACATCTCAAACAGTGCCTTAATTGCACAATAAGATCATTCAATCCTGTTTTTAAATCATAATATCCCTACAGTTCATCAATCAATCAAATATAGCAAGTGCATCAAATTATATTAATCAGAAAAACTTTCAACTTCCAATTTCAATTTAACAGCCATGGTCCCCATATGTCAGTTTAATCATTTATTCAATAATCTTAATCTCCAAAATTCTTTAAAAGTGAACTTATAGTCAAACATGTGGCTTACTATCCATACTTGCATTTATTCCTTACTATTCCTCAACTCATAGGCCAACTTTTCAAATTCCAACTCCCAAGGCACTATTATTATTATTTCTACTGGTATGCATTTTTTCAAAAAGAATACTATGCAATGTACAGGTCTATTAAGCTTTCTAAATCACCCATGTAACGAACTTTCGGCCAATGACTCCCAAACCAAAAAGTCTTAGGGCATTAAGTGATAAAGCACCCCTCCGGACCTAATTGTTCAAGTAATCTAGGCAACCTAAACCCTTTATGTAACAAGCTTTCAGCCAATGACTCTAAAACCAGATGGTCTTAGGGCATTAGGTATCAGAACACACCCCTAAGGACTTAATTGCTCAAGCAATCTAGGTACAGGCCTGAACTTGACCCTTTTCTACTCTTTTTTTTTTTTTTTTTTCATTCACATTGGTGAAGAACTTTTTCATTTATTGCATACATACCTTTTCTTTCCTTTCTTTTATTTAATTTTTTTTTTATGCCTTGGTTATCAAAATTATCAAATTCACCTACTCATCTCAGTTTAACTCAAAACAAAACAAGACTTACAGTTCATACCCAAAAGAATTCATGCAAGTGTGAACATGTGCAAAGTGGAGTATTTTAGAGATCAATATCATCAAACAATAATCATCCTAACAAAGTGGACCACAGGCTACCAACTGATTTCAAAAATTTTCAAGAATTCCTTTTCAACATAATTTTGGCATACAAATCATTTCTAACCAACATCAAACTGCAAAAAGAATATATGACAATCAACAAACTCAAAATCATGCTTGTAACATCAAATTTCAGGACCTTGTGTTATATCATCAAAATTTTGAATTGCCCCTTACCCCCAAACTTAGTGTGCACATTGTCCTCAATGTGTGAAAACAGAAGAGAGTTAGAAAGATATTACCATACTACACCAGACCAGGAAATATATACCAATATGAAACACAGAAGGGCAAATTAGAGAAGTCACCCCCAAACTTGGTCTGTAGTACCTGGCAAAATCTGTAACCTCCAATACACATCAGAGTATTAAGTATATGGAATAATAATAGAGAAATATCATATGCAGCTCAAATATAAACATAAGTATAAGACATGCAAAAAATATGTATATAAATAATCAGAATCAGTACAATGCTTTTAATAACAGACTTAGGGCAGATATACAGCATAGAGAATGAAATATATCAAAAAGACTGCCCTAGTCAACAAAAGATGCCTATCTAGTAAAACAAAATACAAAAAAGCCCTAGACAACTAATCTATATCAGGTGGAAGAGTATCTGTAGAAGTAGAAGCGGCAGAAGGAGTGCAGTGTAAAAGCTCAGCAAGAATGCTTCGTTGCTCAATCAGCATCTGTCTCAGCACTGTCTGTCCACCTTGCAGCTCTGCCACCCTGGCATGTAACTCTCTAATCTCAGCCTGAGAAGAACTCTCAGGCTGTATTGTATGAACTTACCTCCTCTTCGGTGGTGCCTGGCTATCAGAGGTATCCATCTCATCCTCCGTGGCCTCATTATCATCCTCATCCACCACTCTAACAGTAACTGCTATATAACCCTCATCTCCAAACTCCATTGCATTACGATAATTTGCCAGCATATGCGTCCACACCTCATTCCATTTCTTCATTCCAAATATAGGAGTTTCATTACAAGACTCCTCTTTCTTATCTACTACAAAACCCTGTAGCTCTAATATCCTGGTAATCATATATGGAAAAGGTAGCTTATGGGTAGGAATATTCTTATGTGGTCTAATCTCTGACCAAAACTCCAGTATCTGGTAGAAAATCATCCCAGGAAATGAATACCGCTGCTCAAACTGAATAGCATAGAGTGCCTGAATAAAATCAGTATTCTGAATATTTTATGTCCAAGAGGATGAACATTAGCAGAGATAATAGAATCCAAAATCCATAACCTCTTTGGAATCTTAGCCTTGGTAATACTACTAAGCTTTCGCCTGGCAAAACCTTCTATCACACAATTTTTGAATCAAATTTTCTACAATTGGTACCCTAAGGAAATGTGTGAAATTAGGACAATTATGCCTCTTATTTACCACCTGAGAAAGCTTATGATAACATTCTAAAGCTGCAGCAATGGCATTAGGATTAACAATCAACTCATTCCCATCGATCATAGTTCTAAGCTCCCAAAGGTCATTCTCACTATAGACAAGATTGAGATAAAACATACGAACAAGATGAGTATAAACAATCTTAGTTACAGGACCATAAGATGCAGAAGATGCCTATAACTAAATGACTTCATAGCCTATCTACTGCGAGGATCAGCAATTAACGCCTGATAATCAAAGGTCATTTCATAAGAAATTGGGATGGTCTTTCAAGCACTTGGCAAAACATCTTTAGTCACCCTAGCATGCTTAGAAGGAGTAGGATGAACCATCTCAACTTTCAATTAATAGTACCCTCAAAGAAATCCCTTTAAATCACCAAAATCCACCAAATTCTGCAATCTGGGAACTGAAGCTTGAGCTTAACCTTCTGAGCTCGGGCTTGAATCAAGGCTCGAGCTTTAAGTTGCAGAACTTGAGCTCTACCTGAAACTAAACCAACACATATCTTCAGAAATCAATATATATATCAACCCAAGAGTCCTTTAAATAACCATTGTCTGCAGATAACTTATGAAAACCCAAATAATCATTCATCCAAAAAGAAACTCATGCTTTCCTAGTCCAGATCTAGAAATTTAAGCAACTAAGAAAGAAGCAGTGGGAAGAAGATGAAGATGAAGATTTTTGCCTGATTAGCACCTGCAACTCTAGAAGGAGAATGTCAAAAATCATGGTGAATTAGTATAGAGAAGAAAACTTGGAGAAAAACTTCAAGAGAGAGAGATTATGATAGAATAAAAGAAGGAGAACTCAGGCTTTCTTAAAAACTTTTAAAACCCAGGGCTCGAGCTTTAAAACCTGAGAGCTCGAGCCTGTCACCAAAAACCTTTGAGTTAGTGATGAAGGATGGCTCGAGCTTAGCGTGGGCAAGCTCGAGCTTTTGATAGCTGATGCTCGAGCTTTAGAATGAAAGCTCAAGCTTTGAAGACAAATTTTTATATTTTTTTCAATTTTTATTTATTTTTCTTAATAAACCTAAACCTAAACTAAGTTAGAAATAAAATAATAATAAATATAAACTAAAAACCTAAAAATTAAAACTAAACTAAAAATAATAAAAAACTAAAGTACAACATACAAATGCTAAGTTTAGCATCGATAGCTCAACAGAATGCTAAATTTAACGTCGATAGCTCGACAAAAACTGATTTCTCTAGTCCAAGTAAATAGGATCATGAAGTTCTACTGCCTTCACTGTGCCTCTCTGTACAATACCCTCAATGTAGGGCTTAAGTTTTTGTTCATTAACTTTGGACACTTATCCAGTCTTGTAATCTTGTATTTCTATTGCACCATAAGGCGTAACAGAA